GGCAATAAACAACGATCCGCGAGCGCGACAGGGCTGATTTTCAACGTAAAAAAGGCACCCCTAGGGGGGCCTGTTGGGTTGGGGGTGGGGGGAGGGGGGTGGAGATGCTCTTAATCTTTCTACGGGCTAAGCAGATCGTGTCACTTTTGAGCGTCCACGGGTACGGAAATGGTAAATAGTGAATGAGCAATAAATCGATTTTGGCAAAGAGCCAGCTGCGCATGCCCATTAAAGCGCCACGTCACGCCCCCCCACAGCTCAGCTGCAATACCATCCATACCCCTCACCGACCCAGCACCTCAGAGGACATCTAGCACTACCATCGGAGAGTACTATAGTCATTTACCCGCAGGCTCCTAACGATCACAGTTCATCCGTTCAATACAATATTCCATTTTTAAAACCATTTCCGTGCAACCTTTTTATGCCCGAGACAGTAGGAGGACAAGAGCGAGGGCGACCAATAAATTCCTAATTTTTCCCACTTTTCCACCCCGGGATTCCCCCGCCTCTTGTTCCAATCGATTGGTGGGCGTCCTCGTTCTTGGCTTCCCGATTGAATCCGTGGAAGCCAAAGATAATTCTATCTCCGCTGCGATTTTTTTGGGTGGTTTGAGTTCTTGATTTGTTTGCGAGGAAGCCACCATGAGCGCCGGAAGCGCGAGTTTCCTCGAGATCCAGCCCTCGGAGCTGGCATTTCCCTGTAAGTTGTCCCAGATCTTGTCTCCAGATCGAATTGCTAGAATCGCGTCGCGTAGTTATTGCTGTGTCTGTCCCGTCCAATGGATCCTGGTCAAAGCTGGGATCTTAGGATGGAGACGAGGCCATTGGTCCTTGCCTATCGGATCCGTGTGTCTGATCAGCTTGCTTTGTCTAGTGCTCTTTTAGATGCGAACTCAGGATCTTGGACCATTGCGTGCTCTCTGCAAACGGGCAGTGACTGCATGACGTTTTTTTCTTGTGGGATTTCAGTTATTTATGTCTTATGTGCTTCCTGATGCACATGGTATCCCACCCTGTATCGAGGGCATGCTTCGAATGTACATTCTGTGGAAACATGATTATGATAATCATTTGATATTCCAGGAATTTGGGATCTCGCTAACAAATATGTATGTCATCGCTACATTGATCTGGCATTATGGAGTTGCTTGAAATGAAATGTTCCTGTCAATTATTTACATTGTGTTTAGGATGTGGTATTAAGGCCATTGTTAGCTGATCTCGAATTGGATCACTATGTGCTAGATTGTTCTGTCAATGATCATGATTCTGTTATTCAGTTTGCTTGCTTTCAATGTTTGTCTGGGTTAGTTGACTGTATCTTTGCACTGAATATCTAGAGGTTTGTACTGTCTTTCTTAATCAAAATGTGCCTGAACTTCTATTTTGTACATACAGTTGAATTGATGAAGCAGAGCTCGTGCTCCATGCAACTCGCAAATAAGACCGACCATTATGTAGCATTCAAGGTAATCAGTTGTAAATTTTCAATCCTATGTGCCTCATGTTTTTATTGTTCATATAGTTGTTCTAATGGACAAGGAAATCATTACCTCATCACTGTTCGCAGGTCAAAACTACCAACCCAAAGCAGTACTGTGTGCGCCCTAATATTGGCGTTGTACTTCCTGGGTCGACTTGTGATGTTACAGGTAGCTGTCGGTCCATTATATAGGGATAAACATCTCAGTGAAAAGAAAAGCCTGCTTAACTTGCTCAGTTTTCTATTTACAAGTATCCTTAGCATTTTCTCTGTTGTTAGTTACAATGCAAGCGCAGAGGGAAGCACCTCCTGATCTGCAGTGTAAGGACAAGTTCCTAGTTCAAAGTGTTGCAGCTGAGAATGGTGCAGCAACTCAAGATATTAGTGCAGCAATGGTACCTACCTTGACACTCCATTTGTGTTATTTCTGTCAATTTGCTCCTTGCTGCATTTGTTCGTTTCTAGCACATCGTCATGTCATTCATCCATGTGGTTTCGTGATGACAGTTCAACAAGGAGCCAGGGAAGGTTGTTGATGAATGCAAGCTGCGTGTAATTTATGTGCCAACATCTTCACCTAGCCTGTTCTCTGAAGATTCAGAACAAGGGAGTTCTGCTCGTTCATTGGAAAACAGGACTCCTAATTCTACATTGCCACAATCTGTAAGTCACTGAGTTAGCTCTTTCGTTTTTATTTATTTTTTCGTTTTGAATGAAATTCCTGGGGCTTTTTACATGATAAAATTACAATATATTTAATGTCCATTGTTCAGGTATTTAGATCATCTGGTGAAGCATCAAAGGAGAAGTCCTCGGAGGTACCCTTTATTTCTTTATCTAACCTTTATTGTACCTATATGTATTTGATATTGATCAGTACCCTGAGGTAAAAAGGCTGCAAGTTGCAAGAATGAGTGAACAACTGGTTAACTGTATATTGACAATGTTGGTATTATGCTGTGTACCCCTACTTAGATCTTACACTAACTGACTGATTTGTATATGGACTGTAGTACTGATTGTTCATTGTTTTTGGAGATAAAATAATAGATATGGCTTGTCCAGACATTCAGAATTGTCCTTGCATTAAAATCCTCTGGAAGCATATGCTAGCTTGCTGACTGCAAGTAATTGTGAATCTTGCTAGCTGGGTAGCATGCCCTGCCAATCATAAATATCCGTTCGTGAAACAGAAAAAAAACTTTTGTGCCCCCTTCAGTCAGTACCACCCTTACCTGTTATTATGAGGTGATTGGTGATAAGACTGAGGAACAGGTTCATTACTACCATTAGAACATAAGATATTGGCGGCACCTTCCTGAGCCTTAGTCTTAACTCTTAAGTAATGTATATATGATTTGTATCACTCTTGACTTGGGAATATAAAAACAGATTAGGTTATTACTACTTCCCATAATATTTGGAAAACAGGAGAATGCCAAGTAGCATATGATGCATTTTTATTTAACTTCCCAACTTTTGGTGCCTCTAGGATTCCTGATTTACCGTCAGACGAGATGGATTTGTAATTTATATGCCTTACCTATTCCTGTAAGCTTTCCACTGCTTGGACTGTATAGGGTGAATTGTAGCACATACAGTCATACGCAAGCAAAATCATGTGGTCTTGATGAAAATAGGGTGGTACATGAAATTGCTAGGGTTAGTTGTGTCAATTGCAGCGGTGGTGCGTTGCAATGGCAGTTCCTGCCTGTGCGTGGGAACTGGTCTTGCGTGATTGTAATCCAAACATTGTTTCTTAATTAATTAATACATACACCAATTCAAAAAAAAAAAATCGTGTGGCTTTGATGGTATTGGCTACTGTATGTATTGACTTTGTAAAAGTTTGCTGACAACAGATAACCAAAATGCATGATCTCTTACGTAGTTGTCAATCTATCTCAAAATGCTTTTGAAGTTTTATGTTTTGATAAAATGGCTGTGGTTGGTTATTCCTTCTAGGCAACATCCATGATTTCCAAGCTAACTGAGGAGAAAATGTCTGCTGTTCAGCAAAACCAGAAGTTGAGACAAGAGCTGGTAAGTGCTTCCACAACTGTGACAGTTCTGAACTAATGCTGTATTCTTGGGTATTATTCTGGAATTTGTTTTCCATCATTTATATGTTTCTTGACCATTCCATCTCAAAGGTGACTCAAGGGGTTGTTTACTCAGCTATTTATTGATGTGAGGTTCAACAAATTATAGACATGCTCCCCTCTTTGTACTTTATGTTTATCACTACCATGAATAGCGGAAATGTATGAGATAATCTACTGCATTAGCTTCTTGCTTGCTCGTCCTAACCAAGAAATCTTTGTTCACACCATTGGTTTTTCATACGAGCCAAGTAAATGCTTATGTGTTGAGCATTATTCAGATTTATCAATTGATGTAATGACGAGTGTCATGCTCATAATTACACATAAGCATAAAGTTCAGATGGTGTTTGTCGGCAGAAGTTTTTTTTTTCTTCAAATTTTTTGTTTGTTGGAGATTGTCACGAGAAGATGCAGTGATTGCGAGGTGTGTGTTGTTTAGAGTGAACCTTATGTTAGTATGCGTAATAGATCAGTTGTTTATTTCTTAATGTAAGCTGTCTAAAGTTAACAATAATTGACAATGAGCTTCAAATTCTGATGACCTATCAATGGACAATGAAATTCAAATTTGCAGTGCATAGTTTTGGCAGATGTAAATAGAGTCTAAAAGTTGTGCTGGGTCTCTGGCAAGTTAAATATGCAAAAAGTACCCCCTGCTGATATAATCAGATTTTCCATTTGCTGGATTTTTTTTCAATACACATTGTTTGATCGATAAATGTCAAACTTACATTGTGCATGATAATGCATATGCTTTTAGCCTGTGTGCTTATCAGAATTTAATGGATTCTGCAAAGTTGAACACAGTTTATCAGGCCATATGATAAAATCTCTTAATTTCAGGATGTCCTACGCAAAGAGAGCAGCAAAAGCAACGGCGGTTTCTCAATCACCTTCTTGATTGTGGTGGGTATTCTGGGCATCATCGCTGGTTTCATCCTCAAGAAGACATAGGAGAAGAGTAGTCCCCAACAAAGTTACATTCCCAGGAAAGGATGGATACCAACAACATCCCTTGTGTTTTTACTCCTAAAAGGAGCGCCTGTTCTATTCTAACTTGTAACGGCTTAGAAGCTTTGGTTTGTGTACATTACATGGTGGTTTTCGTGATTTTAATCACATCGAGTAGACTTGTTTTAATTATAATTCTTAACAGCTGCAAGTTATGTCACGTTCACCATAACCTTTAATTCATTCTGATCTCACCTTACTTGTGACTTTTGGTGAATTCATTGCTGCTTCTGCCAGATCCTTCAGCTTCATGGAACTCCTGACATCTTATCAGAATATATTTGATCATGGAAACTGCACTATGTACGTAGTTAAGGCATTCAGTACGCGGAAGGAAAGGTCTGTTTAAGCTGTCGATTCATCAGGGTGATGAGTCTGAATACAACATGATTCATGTGTCTGTTCCTACAGTTAGGCTTAGAGAACATGAGAGACCTTCAGGTAGGAACGACGTATAGTTCGGGACGCCCAGGGGCCCTGGGGAGCACCCACGCCGCCGTGGCGACCATGCCGGCGACGAACCCTAGTAGCAGGCATGCACACCTCGTGGCGACGGTCCTGACCAGAGAGCAGGGGGTGGCTTCATCGGTCTCCGCCGCCGCCTTCCGGGTACTGGCAGCACTGATGGCCGGCCACTCCCCTTCCGTGGTCACCGTCGACATGCTGCGATCGCATCGGCACCCTACCTTTCCCGTGGCCCCTTCGCTGCCGTTCCGCACCTGCGTCACGCCGGAACCGCCTCCGCCATCTCTTCTGCAGACCGTCTCTCCGTCGCCCTCGTACATGTCGTCGTCGTGGTCGTCGTCGTCCTCTTGTTAGTCTCGCGGTGGTGGTGCATCCAGGTTTTAGGCTTCGACATGCACCAGTTTTTACCCTAAAAAAGAAGAAGACATGCACCAGTTTCTCCGTATATGTAAAGAACGGATGTGCCATAACAGTTTCTCCGTATCTTCCCTTAATTTTCCGCGAGGAAACTTCTTCAGTTATTTGTTAGAGATAACTTGGTAAGACTAGAAAGAAAGGAGTCTGCCCAAAAAAGAGAGGATAAAGATCAAAAAGCGCTAATGAGCCTTTGCATTTATATACTTTATATAAAAAGGAGAAGAGTCTTAATTTGGACATACACCAGCCATCTAAACTATGTTAATTTTCAGGTTATATTAACCAAAAGCACATTTATTTCCTTTCTTCTGCGTCATTTTACATTGCAGCAGGGAATTTCTATCTCTACTATCTAAAAAAACATAGGTTTCATCTTATGTTAATTTTTCTTTCAACCTCTTGTCTGTCCTCCTTAGGTGTGCTATCCTCCCATCCTTCCATCCGTTTTTCGCTCTTCCTTTCCCATTGGATTTTCTTGGTCCGTTTGAAGTCTTTCCTTTTCTTCATCCCACTACATTTACTGGTTAACAAGACACACATATGGCCTCGCTGGAATGCACACACACCCTCATATTCATGTGCCTCTAATTCCAACCAATGCCAGCCATCTCCCGCCCCATTCTCAACCGGCGTTGCTCCCCGGTCTCCAACATCGATGCCTAGTGCTCGTCGCCATTCCTCCCTACCCCCGGCTAACCATGCCCACCAACTCTAGCTTTCCCGCCCGACTGTGTCATGTGTTGTTGGTGCCACTCTCCTGTTATCTGACCTCGGTGTTGTCTCCGCCAATACAACCCCCTCCTCAACTTGAGCAAGTCAGGGGGATGGTAGTGCCGCCAGAGCGGTACTACTGCGCCCACCAGCGGTACTACCACGAGGTGTTGAACTGCAGCAGATACCCGCGGTAGTAGAGGAGGGCAGGGCGGTAGTGCCGCCGGAGGCGGCACTACCGCCTAGAACTACTGCTCTACTTCCGCCCATGGAACAGAACAACCCAGAACAAGGAAAATAAGCGATACTCCCCGCGGTACTAAACAACGGTAGTTTCGCTGGAGCGGTACTATTGTGGCCAACATCGGTACATACGCTTAGCCCGTTGGTGTCTAGTAAACACATGGTAGTTGAGAGGCAGTTAGCCCCGTAGTACCGCTCCACTCTACTGCCGCCCGTTTACAGGACCCACAAATTAGGTGGAAGTAGGAGCCGTACTGCAGAACGGTAGTACCGCTGGAGCGGTACTACCGTTGTGCAGGGCGGTACTACCGCTTAGCCTGTTCTAACAAGGTTCAACCACACAGGAGGAATAAGCTCAATTGTCGGGAAAGAACGAGGGTGCACATATATAGTGTACGTGTTGATTCCACCCAAACCTTTTCGAAGCGGACCCCCTCTTAATAGTACAGTGTTCCTACGATTCAATTCCACTGAAAAAGAAACACAAGAAAACACCGTCTTCATAAATATCCAGAGGGGTTCAAATCGTCTTGTGCCATAAGATAGTTTATCTGAAATGCTCAATGCACACGATTAGTCCGCAAATGTATTGTCATCAATCACCAAAACCACTAAGGGAGAAATATGCCCTAACAATCTCCCCCTTTTGGCGGATTGATGACAATACGGGATTTGCACATATATGTGATAAGATAACATGCAAACCCAACATCTACAAAATATAGATGGACTCCCCCTAGATGTGTGCACTATATGGGTATGCCTTTGGAATGCAAAGCCCACACACTAGGATCAACACTCCCCCTATATTTTATAGACTGTCAACACTTGCAACAATAATATGAGAAGGTAAAGCATGGATGCAAGATAGTAGCATGTGAGCATAAAAATAGAGCATACGACAAGTAATATCTCACAAGCTAATACGGTATTTGACATAAGGATAAAGATAAGGTAGCATATGTCTCACACCATATGATAGGTTGCACACGTGAACGAAAAGCAAACCAAATGACGATAAATAGTTCACGAGAGAACGAAAATAACAACAAAGAAGACACACTCGTGGCTCGGCAAATCCCTAAGCTCTCTCCCCCTTTGGCATCGAGACACCAAAAGGGTAAAGAGGACTAAACACGACCAAGGTGACAGTGATGCTCCGGATCATCAATAATCCTCGTGCTCTTCTGAGTCCTCATGCTCCTCGGACTCCTCGTGCCCCTCAGACTCTGCAGGTGCATGCTAATGCTCCGCCTCTAAATCTGACCACTTGCAATGCTGCGAAATCCAAGTCTCCTCATCTGTGACCTGCTCCTCAAACCCACTAGTGATCTCCTGACCGAGAGTCCTCATCATAGTCTTATGGTGAGAGCGAGCAGCTTACTCTACCACATGTGCCATGTACTGGCCTTGGGCCTTCATGCAGAAAAGCCTCTTCATCTTCGACTTGAGCTTACATGCCCAAGATGGCACCTTCTCTAGAGAGGGAACAAACTCATAATCAGGCTCCTCCTCATCATCTGAGTCAGTGGGAGCAATCTCCTCTCTGGTGCCAGCAGGCGCAGCCCCCCAGTTATCCTTTAGGCGCAGATTCAGAACTGGATGAGAAACCATGTGCTCAGTAGGAAGAGCCTCTTTTGGGCAGTTAGCAGCCCACTTCTTCTCAATAAGCTTGAACAGATAGGGACCATAGATGGGCACCTTGCGATCCAACACAGCAGAGCGAAGCTCACGCCACATGATGTGAGAGATATCCAACGTAGAAGTCCTGCCCTTCTCCTTGATGCACATCAACGGAAGATCCACCAGGTAAGAGTGTACCATATCCAAGTTCCCAATGCGAGGGAAGAGAGTGCTACAGAAGATACGGTGCATCATGTCCAGAAAGGGAATGAGCTCCGTGCGAGTGGCCCCCTTGAGTGTCTTCACGGTCCTAGAGTACCAGATAAGCTTGGACTTGTGAGTGGGAGGTGCTTCCTTGTGAGGTCGTAGACCAACTAACTTGTCTTCCCCCTCATCAGCAACACCCAAGCAATTCATGAAGTCCTTCTAATCAACCCTGAATCTTCTCCCACCGGTCATCCATGACATAGATCTCTCCTCATTGGCATGAAAGTGAACCATGGCATAAAATTGAGCCACAATCTCTGGATCATAGTCCTTGTTGTATGTGATGAAGGGAATGAGCCCCCACTATTGACAAAGAGCAAGGGCCTCTCCAAAGTACGCCGGATCCTTCTCCATGCGATTGACATCAATCGACTTGACGTTGACAAACAAGTTCTTCTTGGCCTTCAGAATGTCCAGATAGATCAATGATTGCTCCTTGGTCCAGAAGGGACGACCAACAAAAGCCGCATCCTGAGGAAGGCGATACGGATTGTGAATGCGGACTCCTGAAACTCCTTTCCAGACATCTCATTAGGAGGGGTGTACTTCTTCTTCTCCTTCTGCTTGCTGACTATCCTCTTCACATTCTGCATGGGTGGACGACTGGAACTGGCAGGGGTGCCGTCAGCAGTACGGTAGTGCTTGGAACCACCCTGGCGATCTGGGTTCTTGCGGCGAGCATGATGAGGAACAAAGCTACCATCACATGGAACCCACAAACATAGAACGAGGGAAAAGCAGGTGTAAAGTCATTGCATAGACGTGATTGCGAAAATCGTGAAAATCTAGGTCACAGTGGTAGTACCGTGCCCAGCCGCGGTAGTACCGTTGCAGTTTAAGCGGTAGTACCACTGGACACGAGCGGTAGTACCGCTGCAAGCGGTAGTACTGGCCATGTCCAATCGGTAGTACTGCCCACCTGACGGAAATACTTCCACGAAGTGGATCCGGTATTACCGGTGACATAGAAGTGCAAAATCTAGGAAGGAACAACTATACTCCTATCTAGCAGTCATCCCGCAACCTACTCATGCCTAGATTTAGCCAAAAATCTACGAATACCACATGCATCGCCTAAAGCCAATATTCAAAAAATAGAACAATAGGAGAGGAAAACAAGGGCAATACTAGTATCCATGGCAAGAGGGGAAGCCGGGGATCGATCCCACCGGTCGAAAGCGGAGAAGACGACACAGATTCGGAGATTCGTAGCCGGC